TTGGGGCTTAGGGTTTAGGGTTTGATTAAGGTTTAGGGTTTGGGGCTTTGGGTTTAGGGTTTAGGGTTTAGGGTGCAGTGGGAGTTGAGGTATATTTGCCGAATACGATTGCAACACAAACACTCTAGTTCTTGCTGACCGATTGAATTGTTACTACGATGAAGGTTATTACTATGATTGTCATTACTCTTATTACTATCATTATTATTCTTGTTACTATTACTATTATCAGTATTATTAGCATTATTCGAATTATTCGTATTATTAGTATTATTAGTAGTATTAGTATTATTATTATTGTTATTGGTGCTACTGTAAAGGAGCATGATGATGGGAAGGCAGAATCTTGTCTTACCAGGGGAATCATTGGAGTCACTCTTGGCATCATAATTCTTATGCTGTAGGGGCCTGTTTAAATAATGAACTATACTATTTTGTGGGTTCCTTAAAATACTTATAGCAGAATGGGCCCCCAAACCCACTTCTAATTATTAAGGCCCCTATATTGGGGCGATCAGAGGAGAACACTCCAATGTTTCGAGATGCATGTTGATCGGAGGCCTCAATCCTAAACACTACAAAACCGTGCTCTCTATGGCATCTCTGTCACAAAGACTTTGCTACTAGGGGTCACATCAGGTTCTCTCTCTTTTTCTGACAGCCCCGACGCCCCTTTTCGGCTAGGTAAAAACCGTACCGTAAGCGACAAACCCGAAACCTTGAATCCTCAAGCAATATACTCATAGGCCCTAAAGTAGTTCCTTTTTGGGGTTCATATATAGAATCCTATAGGCTAACCCCAAAAAGGAACTACTATGGGGCCCATGGGTAAGCCTTGCATGGACTGAGGTTCGTGTCCTGCCAAAAGTTCACTGACCAGGAGAGGGAGCAGACGTGCAGCTCGGTCAGCTCGATTTGTGATCCACAAGCGCCGTATACGGTTTAGGGTTTAGGGTTTAGGGTTTAGAAAATTGTGCCCAGGCCTGAACCTTGGTACACTGCCAGCTGATGGGGTGCAGGATCTAGGCCAGATAGTTGGGACGTACGGACGTAGCATGTGAGTTCAGGGTTCATGCGTTGAGGTTCTTCATTCTTCTCCGGGTCTTACCCAGTCTTAAACCCAAAACCCCAAACCCTAAACTGATCCCTAAACCCTAAACCCCTAAACCCTAAACCCTAAACCCTAAACCCTTAACCCCTACACCCCTAAACCCTGATCTAATAATAACCGTGCACTCACAGCCCCATCGCGAATGTCGGAGGCAATGCTGCTACGACCGTGCTCGCCACGATCATCGGGGCGATGCTGGCAGCCCTGCTCCTCGCAGGGAACCCATTCGGCCCCGAGGCAGCTGGGTGTAGGGTTTACGGGTTTAGTGTTTAGGGTTTAGGGTTTAGGGGTTTTGGGTTTAGGGTGTACGGTTTAGGCCTAAACCCTAAACCCTAAACCTTAAACCCAAAACCCCAAACCCTAAAACACCGAAAGCCTGCAGGCGTACTCCCAATCCTGGTTCTTGCTGCCGGTGGCTGTGGTGCAGTTCTCACTGCTTTGGTTTCACGACCGATCCACGGCTTGATCTTGGGGTTTAGGGTTTAGGGTTTAGGGTTTAGGGTTTAGGGTTTAGGGTTTAGGGTTTAGGGGGTGTCTCTGAAACCGGTTAATATGAACAGGTTATTGCACTTCCCTACCCCTGAACCCTCAACCCCGACTTCTTCTGTCACTGTCGGTAGGAGCGCACTTTCGAGCGCGGAGTCCTCTGGGACTCCAGGCCAAGGATGTGTTTTCGTGCTGTCGTGGCGGCCAAAATGCCATGAACAAGGAAACAGGCAAGTGGGTTTGGGGTTTAGGGTTTACGGTTTAGGGTTTAGGGTTTAGGGATGAACAAGGAAACAGGCAAGTGGGTTTGGGGTTTAGAAGCACAACATAACTTGAACACCAAAGCAAAGCAAACAACAAACGGCAGCTTTGCACTCATTCGAGAAATCGGGGGGAAGCAAGACAGACGCCGATCGCAGAACTAAACCCAGAACCCTGAACCCGAAACCCTAAACCCTAAACTCCCCAGAAACCTGAACCCTAAACCCTACGACCTGTCAGATTAGATCGGCTCTGAGGCTCCTATTTTGACTAGGTTTAGGGTTTAGGGTTTACGGTTTAGGGTTTGGGTTTAGGGCCTGATCCGTTTCCTGAACGGAGTGTGTCGGCTGCTGTCTAGTTGTTATCCTTGTAGCTGAATGAGTACAGCTTACACTTTTGGGGATAATCTGATCCCTTGAAGTATGAGCTGAAAGTCTACTCTTTTTTGGCCCCATGAACTCCGAGACTAAGTATCTCGTACTCAGACTAGTCGTGAGTTGCATTGCAGTCGTCATCCGAATACTTCGTGGAGGCATTGCTGTTTGTTGACCCGCCAGACTCCAAAATCATAGTGCGGTAGCAAACATGTGCAAGCAGCAGGCGGTTCAGGGTTTAGGGGGTTTAGGGTTTAAGGTATAGGGTTTAGGGGTTTAGGGTTTAGGGGTTAGAAGACAACAATGCATGGCAATGATCGTATATGGAGACAATCGTCGTTATTCTGTTGCGACGACTTTTCATGACATCACATCAGCCTCGGTCCCAAACGCGATTTAAACCCCAAGCCCTACACAAAACCCCAAACCCTAAACCCCAAGCCCTCAACCCCTGAACCCTACACCCTAAACCCCAAGCCCTCAACCCTAAACCCCAAGCCCTCAACCCTGAACCCAAAACCCTCAACCCTAAACCCCAAACAGTAGACCTCAAACCCTTAACCCTAAACCCTCAACCCTAAACCCTAAACCCTAAACTCTAAACCCTAAAGCCCAGGCATGGTAAGCCGGCAGATTTCCGAGAGGGGGGATCCCGTTACGAAGCTGCCGCGCCTCGGAAGGGAGGATCTAGGACATTTTTAGAAGAGCTCCCTTTATGTTGTTCTTGAGCTCCTGGTTAGGGTTTAGGGATTAGTTTTTAGGGTTTAGGGTTTAGGGTTTGGGGTTTAGGACATTTTCAGGTGGGTAGTTACTGTTATAGGAGCTTTATAGAAGGTCTATATACCTTATAGAAGCCTTATAGAAGCCTTACATAGCCTAAACTCCCCACCTGTAGTTTTCTTTAAGAGGAGGTGTAGGGGGTTTCAGGGTTTTAGGGTTTCAGGGTTTAGGGTTTAGAGTTTGGGGTTTAGGGTTTAGGGGCAAAGGGTTTAGGGT